CGGGATTGTTGTAGGATAGGGGAAGGTGAGGTCTGGGCGTCCTGCAGACATGGGTACTTTGAGGCGTGTGGGTGGGCCCAGCAGGTACTTGGCACCAAGTGGTGCTCGGTGTGTGGTGGAGTTGTTGGGTGGGTGTCCTGGGTGTAGGCTCACTTGCTTCTGAGAATATACCAGAGACCAAGCTTGCCCCCAAAATGCAAGGGGTATAAGAGGCAGCAGCATTTGGGCACCCATGTTTAGGCCTATCTACCAATGTCACCACTGCTCTGGCATCACCTAGCGATGTTGACCAACACTTTAATCCCTGCAACAGCCTCATGGGGTGTCTGCTGCAATCGTCTGTGTTTATGCAGATGCATGCATGAAGGCAGAGGGTAGTGAGGTTGCCTGGGACCAGGTGTAGAGCTCCTGACCACTGCACAGCCCACCTCAGTGCCACCACACTGCAGGTGATCTCTACTGAGACATCAAGAAAGCGGGACTCCCTTGGCTCTGGGGTATTCCCCTGTGACAGGAAGGGAGGGCTGTAGCAGGGAGCAGGCTGAGTTAGCAAAGGGGTACTTCTGGCTTGTGGGAATTTAAGGTTCTGGGAATTGACTCATAAAATGCAGCACATTCTACCCAGATTGCCTGCTGCACCAGCACCTACCTGCAGCTGGAATGAAGTCACCTGTGTGTGATGTATATTTCTAGAACACCAGTACTAAAGACATATCATCACTTCCTGGTTCCTTTTTTTCAAAGGATCTAACCCTTGGGGATCCAGGAGTAGGATAGGGGGCAGATGTTTAGGATGGGCTGCTAGATGGGACCAGTCACTGGCTACCTCCACAGCTGGCCCCTCCTGACTACTGAACTCTTCCCCTGTAGCATTAGGGGTGATTGGGGACAGAGGCCATTGTGCTGTCTGCACACCATGGCCTTACTCATAGCCACTCCTGGCCCAAATGTTCCTGCAGTTGACACAGTATTGGGGACCTCAACTCTAACTCATGCTTAATAGGAAATTTGGTCCCCAATCAGACCTCACCCTTCATCTCCTCTTTAAGGTCCCATCCAGGCCTTTGCCAGCTACACAGGCAGGCTAAAGCTAGTGCCTGACTCAGACCTAAGGCCTTAGTGTGGGGCGTCCTCCAGGCTGACCTGTGGCATGACTGTTGTCATTTCCAAAAGGGAGGTTGAGGCTGCAGACTGAGATTTTCAAAAGGGAGGTTGAGGCTGCAGGCGCAGCCGCATCTGTTATGTCCCTAAAGAAACACTGAAGAAGTGTGTGATTAGGGATGGAACTAAAGACATATTTAGCTGTACTCCATCCTGCTGCCCCACTGAAGCTGTGGTAAAAGGTAATGAGGTAGAAAAGACAGGGGAAGGAGAGACAACTCAAACAAGACTTTGAAAGCCCCAGGGCAAGACAAGTGGTAACTGACTTGATAGGCCATGGAAAGCTGACTGGAAATGTTATTTTTGGGTGGTGAAGTTATGGGTGGTTTTTCTATTTGGCAGAGCCAAGAGGCAGTTTGGTGTAGAGCTCTCAAAAGGCACCTCTAGAAAGGGAGAGCGAAACTGGAACACCTGTTACAAAGCAATTAGAGCTACATCACCCTCCTTCCCCTCAACCCACTGGGGTTGTGAACCCTCCCTGCACCCACCCCCCACCCCACCCCCGCAAAGGGAAGGCCGGAGGCATCACAGAAGTCTCTAGACTGGGGCCATCGGACACAGTGAATAGCAGGACCAAACTAAAAGAGAATGAGTGACAGTTTGCATCCTAAATGTTGATGACCTTAGTGTTCTTCCTCTATTTGGCCCCTGAACACTGGCAGCTGGGCTTGCTTGTTGCAGTTGGAGGTGGAGGAGATTTCTCTGGACTGTCTGATGAGCCCAAGAAAAAAGACCTGAAGATACTGACAGACAGCAGGGCTCCCCATGGACTATCCCAACCAGCTTACCCCAGAGTGAAGACCATAATCAGAAAGCTTCCATTTCTAATGTCCAGATGATAAGAACTGTGAAAAGAGAGACCAGAAAAACCAAAGGAGCAGAAATTATCAAAGAAATAACTTCCCCAAGCAGAGTGAAGACCATAATCAGAAAGCTTCCATTTCTAATGTCCAGATGATAAGAATTGTGAAAAGAGAGACCAGAAAAACCAAAGGAGCAGAAATTATCAAAGAAATAACTTCCCCAAACTGAAGGGCACCAGTTTCCAGAAAAGAAGGGCCTACTGAGTTCCAGAACAGTGAGTGAAAATAGCCCCATGTTGAGACAAAAGAAAAATCCTCAGGCTTCCAGAGAGAACAGAGGTTTCAACATGGATCAAGAAGGGCATCATCATCTTAGCAGGACACATTCAAGAAGCTAGAAGATAGTGGAGCAATGTCTTCAAAATTCTGAGAGGAAATTTTTCTGACCTAAAATTCTATACCCAGTTCGTGGACTGAATTGTGTTCCCCCCACCCTCACAAATTTCATGTTAAAGCCCTAACCCACAGTACCTCAGAATGTGACTGTATTTGGAGATAGGGCCTTTAAAATCACTGATTAAGTTAAAATGAGGCCATTAGGGTGTACCTAATCCAGTCTGACTGGTGTCCTTCTAATAAGGAAATTTGGACACATAGAGGAAAGGCAATGTGAGGACACAGCAAGAAGGCATCCATCTGCAAGTGAAGGAGAGAGGCCTCAGTGGAAACCAAACCTGCTGACGCCTTGATATTGCAGTTCCAGCCTCCAGCAGAACTGTGAGAAATAAATTCCCTTTGTTTGGGCCACGCAGTCTATGATATTTTGTATGGTAGCCATAACAGACTAACACACCAGCCAACCTATCAGTGAAACATGAGAGTACAAAAACAGTAGTTTCAGACACATAGGATCTCACAAAAAGATATTCCTCATGCACCCTTTTTCAGGAAGCTGCTGGAAGATGTACTGCACTAAAATGAAGGAATAAAGTAGAAATGCGAAAGCCCTAGGATCCAGGAAATAGGGAGTCCCCACCACCATGTACAGCACCTAGAGAATAGCCAGGAGGGGTAGGGCAGGCTGATGCTTCAGGAGACACAAACTCTTCAAGCAGATGAAATGAGTGGGTCACCTGCTGTGATCAATATATGAAGAAGAGGTACTGACACCAGGGCAAATGGAAGACTGTGCAGGAAAGGAAGACTGAATGACTCAGCTGTGACTCCCGTTTACATGATTGTCACCACCACACGCTAAATGGGCCCACTGCAGTAGGTGGAGGTGTTGGTTACTCAGTGTTTGTGTTGGAAATTGCAGAATCCTCTTCTTCCTTGGAAGAAAGTCAGAAGATAGCACCTCAGACTAACCAGCAATAAAAGCATGTGGAAAAATACCTGCTGTTTTCAAGAGTTGGGAAAAAACAAGCCCTCCTTCTGTTGGTGGGAGAATAGCTTGGTAGAATGTTTCTGAGGGTTGATTACTCTCTCTATATTAAAAGCTTTTAAAAATATGTACACCCTTTTATCCAGAAATTCCACTCTGGGAAAAATCAGAGCTGTAGGAAAACACATTAAGCTTCTTGCCACAGCAATTTAAAATATCACAAACCTGTAAATAACAGGAATGTCCAATGGTAGAAAACTGTCTCTCCCATGTGATGGAATTCTCTGTAGCCTTTGGCATGTACTAGTTAAGCAATTCATTAGCTTTAGACTTAAGAATTAAGTGGGAAAACCATTTATATAAGCATTACAGAAAGGTGACTGGAAATGTTACTTTTGAGCGGTGAAGTTATGGGTGATTTTTCTATTGGGTGTATATTTTATATTTTTTACATTGAAAATGGCTATTCTGTGAAAAGATATACATTCAACCTGAGAATAAAGATTGTGGTAGGGTCATAATTGCGATTCCATAGTTTCATTTTTCAGCGCAATAAATTATGATTTATATTTATATTTCAGAAATATTTCTTTTTTTTTTTTTTTGGTGGCTGACCGGTAAGGGGATCTGAACCCTTGACCTTGGTGTTACCAACACCACACTCTGACCAACTGAGCTAACTGGCTACCCTGCAGAGACATTTCTTATTACAAACAATGTGAAAGTAAGGGAAATGGGTGGATGGTTCACAAGTCTACAGAATAAGGCATTTATTATACACTTCTAGGGAGTTTCTGAAAATAGTATTTTATCTTCATACCTAGGATGAAGCTGGAGGCAGATTCGTCGCTTTCTCTGGAGAAGGACAGTCATTGCGTAAAAAAGGAAGAAAGCCATAAGTGGGGACTGTTGGCTGACTGGAAAATAAAAGAATCGATTGCAACACATTGGCTTTTAGTTACTGGCTCTGACAGGGATGAAACTCATCAGAGAAAGTTCTGTTACTTAAGGTTTGTTTAGAGTTACCTAAGAATTATGAAGTGTGACCTGGAAGTGAAGCAGCAGGACTTCGTAGTTGTGTGCTTGATTTTGGGAAAGAGAAAGCGATCTCTGAGGTCCCATAGGTGGCCACTTCCTCACCTCTTCAAGCTTTTAGCTTGAGTGGGGCTCGCACTCTCATCAAGAGCACAGTTCCCTAATTCCTGACAAAACCAACAGAGGAGATTGACTTGCTCAACTTGAGGTGTTCTTTCTCTTCGTTTATCCTTTCTTTTCCCAGGTCCATTGCATAGGTGTTGTCTTTGACCTAGAAAAAAGTGGTTTAAATAGATATGTGCTCTATAAACAGTGGCTATTCCACTACTCTGCTGCAATTTAAGTATTTGAGAGTGTTTCTGTTTTTATTTTATATATTGAATTTTTTTAAGTGACATTCAGAAGAAAAACATGATCTGAATGAGTTCACACTTTTATTTTGATTTCATATGGAAATAATTGGCTCTTTAGTGAACCTGTTCTAAACAACTCCATGGTGAAACACAACTATAAATGTTAGAATGAATAAATGCTAAACATATGTTCCTCTTTCTCCTTTTTCCCTACCTCCCACTTCCAATTTTAATTTATTAAATTATCCAAGGTTCTGCCAGCCTGTCTTTATTTTTGATTAGTTTTAATTTGGTCACAGATCTTCACTTTCTATAATGTGAGATCTTTTGACATGCTAACCCAGTTATTTTAAATTTGTTCCTTGAGAATAATTATAAATCAAGAATTTCAAATAAAAACAGGCCATGACTAAAACCTGGATCGCCTCTATATGTTTGATTAGGTACTAATATGGGTTGGTGGTTGTGCCACTAACCAGAGGTTGGAGGAAGGCCTGCTTGCAGGTGCCCCATGTTGCATTGTGCCATTAGAAACGTGCTCCTCTGGGTCTTCTGGAAAATGCTGTGAGAAACAAGGCTCCCTGACCTCTGGGGTGAGGATGGTCAGGTCCAGCAGGGTCCCCCCATGTACCAGGGCTTACCCTGCTTGTAGGCAGAGGGGTCCCATTCTAGACAGGGCTCCTCCCAACACTTTGGAGAGGAGAGCATGCCTTCTGCATGTTGGCAGCCCAGGTCCACCCACGTGGCCCCAGTGAAGAGCATCAATGAGTGTCATGATGTTTAGGGCTTTGCCCTTTGACACACACAAACCATCATCACTGGATGGATGTGACCTACCTGACTCTCCACTTAATAAGTCTTAGTTTCACTCCAGAGATAGAAGCCCTCTTTGGCAGGTAGGCAGCCTCCATTTGCAGGATCATATTGGCTCACAAATGGTTGTTTCATGCACAATGAAGAATGTTACAGCAGGCACTGGCCCTGGTTTTTGTCTTCTCTAAGCAACACCTACTGTGAATACAGTGAAACTCATCATGGTCCTTTGCTGGAGGCACGTTCACCTGCCTGGGCCAGTGGTAGACCCAACTGGGGCTTTCTGATGACACAGTGTAGTTACCTGGAGCGTTGCTCCTGGTCATTACTGTGGAACGCTGGCCTGCAGCCTTCCTCTCAGTGTCTTCTCCAAGCTTGGTCCTTGGGCCACCTCAAAAGCTGGACCCCTCCAGCTTTCTGATCCATCTCCAGGGAGTCTGACCCAGTGTCATTCCTGGGATGGGCCCAGGAACTGCATTTTAAGGGACTCCCCAGCAGATGATTTGATTTGCAGAAATGAGAACCATTGTATAAGTATTGCAAGGCGTTTCCACAGGCCTCTTTACTTCACTTTTATTGCCTCTTGTGATCTCTCCTGTTTATAAACACTCCATGTCTCCCACGCCCTTAGAATAGAGTCTACACTCTCTTTATCAGACAAGTAAATCACACACACACCTGCTCACCTCGTGCCACATGACAGCCTCTGGGCCTTTGATCAGGCTGTGGCTGTGCCCTTCTCTTAACTTCCACTTCAAGCCTGGGTTCACTGGGAAGGTCATCCCGCGCCCTACGTTCCTCCCTCACCCCCAACACACCCGTCACTCCCGATTAACCCCGGTTACTCAGTTCACCTCGCTGCGTAGACACTCATGTGAGACCACCGTATAGCCGCAGACGTGGCAGGTTCGCTGCCGCGGAGTTAATGTTCAGTATGTGCTTACGAAAATGAACCGGATTTTGAGATTTGAGAAAATCACAAAGCTGGTGGAAAGCAGTAGCCTGAATCGTGTGGTTTCAGAGACAGCTAACTTCACTTGGCTGCTCTGCCAGGGATGCCCGCCAGGCACTGGGCCAACCGCCGCTGTCATCGCGTGACCACGCCCGCCGCGCGACAGGTCTTGGACCCCTGAGATCCGCCCCGGGGCCCCGCCCTCGGCTGTTATTGGCGACTCAGCCCAGGAGTCCCGTTTACTGTCGCCTCTCAAGGAGGAGAACGAGGATTTAATCGTCATATTTCGGAATTCACCGGTTTTTCTGTCCGTCAATCAGGCGGTGCTGGCTTTCTTCAGTCTTCATTGGGTGGCGGACTGAGGAGGCGGGTTAGGCGGTCGCCTGGACATGGCAGAAGGCGGTGGCTGGCGGGTGAGTGTGGTCGGTGCCGGGGCCCTGAGGGGGCATTCTCCGGGCGAGGGGACGGGCCGGGGTCGTGGGACGTGGGGCGCGGCCGCCGGGCCCCGCTCAGGCGCCGCCTCTCACCGCAGCCGCCGCGCCCCTGCGAGGCCTACCGCG